GACTTCATTCTTATGCTAAGTTTTACTTACAAGAGATTTTAAAACCTATACGAAAAAGACATCAATTAACAAAACAGATATTTTATAAAGAATAATGTATGTACAATAACATCTACTATCTGCTAGATAAGTCTGTTATTCATGTATACTAATAAATATACCAAACATCTTGATTTAATTAATCTATATTACATGAATAAATGTTGTATTATACATATACAATCATTATTATATATATCATGTACACGGTCTGTCTCATGGAAAACGGAACTTTTTTTAAAATAAAGACAAAACTTATTATTTTGGCAAATATAATTTATTTTATTCGAAATAGTCTCCTTGCGCTTCAATACAACGCTTTGCACGGTCAATTAACATAACGAATGAATTTTTGAGCTCATCTACAGAAATGTCCTTTAAGATGGCAGTCGACGCTTTTTGGATGGCTTCAATGTCGTCGTAACGCTTTCCTTTCATCGGTAAATGTAGATTAGAGAAAAGGTAAAAGTCACAGGGCGCCAAATCAGGCGAGTACGGTGAATGGTTGATCGTTAAAATGCCGTTTTTGGTGCAAAAATCAGTGATCAGCGTAGAGCGATGAGCAGGCGCATTATCGTGTAACAAACGCCAACTTCCTTTTTCACGGTATTGAGGCTGCACACGACGAATACGCGATAACAGACGCTTCATAACACTAACAAGATAAAACACATATTTGCTCTTTGTTCAAAATTCATTTTTCGACCGATGACACAAACACACTGTCACTTTAAGCGCAATAACTTGGCTTCTGATAGTCCAAATGTGATGAAATTTTGACTAACATCTGTCAAGTATGTACTTGTCTAACTCTTACGCCCGTCAATAGGTGGCGCCACTAGAAAAAGCTATTTTTAAAAAGTTCCGTTTTCCGTGAGACAGACCGTGTATATACATATGTATGTTATTTTATATACATGCGTACATATATTATTTTACATACATGCATAAATTTACTTTATAATTGCATATACATTGTTAATTTATATGCAGTTATAAAGTAGTTGAATAATTAAACTCTAAGTTTTTAGTTTACAAGTATCTTTTGTATGCGTATTATAAACTGTTAATTTTCGACACGAAGGTATACATGCGTTTTACTTTATAATTGCATATACATTGTTAAAGTACGTGCAATTATAAAGTACTTGAATAATTAAACCCTAAGTTTTTAATTTACAAGTATCTTTTGCATGTGTATTATAAACTGTTAATTTTCGACACGAAGGCATACATGCGTAAATTTACTTTATAATTGCATATACATTGTTAATGTATATGTAGTTATAAAGTAGTTGAATAATTAAACTCTAAGTTTTTAGTTTACAAGTATCTTTTGTATGCGTATTATAAACTGTTAATTTTCGACACGAAGGCATACATGCGTAAATTTACTTTATAATTGCATATACATTGTTAATGTATAAGCAGTTATAAAGTAGTTGAATAATTAAACTCTAAGTTTTTAGTTTACAAGTATCTTTTGTATGTGTATTATAAACTGTTAATTTTCGACACGAAGGTATACATGCGTTTTACTTTATAATTGCATATACATTGTTAAAGTACATGCAATTATAAAGTACTTGAATAATTAAACCCTAAGTTTTTAGTTTACAAGTATCTTTGGTATGTGTATTATAAAGCCGGTAATTTTGTTAAAAAATAAACAATTATGTACGAATATATTTATAATAAATACGTTAAGCTATATATATTATATATTTTTTTATATTGTGATTTTAATTATTATTATATTATATAATATAACATCCTATACCTTTTAAATATATTATATAAATAAATTAGTAAGGCTCGTATGTGTTAAACACAAACAAAGAATTTAAAGGACTCAGAGTCGTGACAGGATGGTAGTGTCTAAATATTCTATTCTAAATTTATTGCGAAAAAATATCACCTCGGCCAGGGTTTGAACCTGGAAAATATATTATAAATATATTATATTTGATGTTTTTTATTTTTTAAGGTTGCAACAATTAGTAAATATACCGATGAGAGGAGCCAGCCCCGATGACCTTGACCTTGACATATGTTATCAAGGTCACCCTCCTGAGTGACCTTCAGAAGGTTTTAGCCGTCGCTCGTGGTTCGTTAAAAAGTTATTAAAAATTTTCATAAACACGTAAGTTGCAAGTGCGTTTAGCACGGCGCGCTGCGCGCGCCCCACCCCCTCCCGCCCCCTCCTACCCCATCTCCATCCCCCCTCCCCGCCCCCACCTCCACCCCCGTTAAAATATAACCCTACCCACACTATGTCCGAGGTGTGGAGTGCATCTCGCCTCACGTGGAAAGTCGCAAACCCATGTGGAACAGTACAACGATGGAAGTACATGCGTGGAGACAGTATGTTCCCCGAAGGAGGGGGGCGGAACATATTATTTCCACGCATGTACATACTTCCGCAGTTGTACTGTTACACATGTAGTATGTTGATTATGTTGATTTCACCGTACAGATTTCTATCACCTGGTGGGGGGAAATTTGAATATTAATCTGATTCATATGTACACGCACCGGCGGAGATGCCGTCGTGTTCGTGAGACTCGCACACAACGTTGGCTCTCGCACACACTCTCGCCTGTAGGTGAGGTAGGGAAAGTAGGGGCAGCCGCTCGCGATTGGACCGCGACGGCGTGACGGGGACTAGCGGGGCTACCGGTATAGCGATCGTAGTGGGGAAACGTGGTGGGAGTCGCTGCGATCTACCATCCTCGTCGCGAGCCGTGTAAGCGAGAGAGACCGCATTATACGAGGGTAGCGGCTGGTTAATGCTGTCCCAATGCGTGTGACCCGCACACATTGATCAGGGCCACGCACACACGTGAAGGACGGCATTTCCGCCGGTGCGTGTACACATAACAATAACAGAGGTTGAGGCTGTAGGAATCCTTGTGTTTAGTAGTTACCTTTGACTATATAATCATGGACTGCTAGTTGCCGCATTCAGGCTGTAATCAACATCACGAGCGCCACCATAGGATAAATGGCAGAAAATCGAAACACTAAGTCAGATTTAATGGTAAAACAGGACAGAAGACAGAGATAGAATATAGCTGTTTTATCATGTTTATCAGAGTTCAGAACCAATTATAATATAATTGGTTCTGAACTCTGATAAACATGATAAAACAGCACGACATAAGCTATATTCTATCTCTGTCTTCTGTCCTGTTTTACCATTAAATCTGACTTAGTGTTTCGATTTTCTGCCATTTATCCTATGGCGGCACTCGTGATGTTGATTACGTGTTAGACCAGGCAAAGTGGAGGCAACTAGCAGTCCATGATTATATAGTCAAAGGTAGTTACAGGATTCTTAGTACGTAAACATGCGACTTCACGAGTTTCTGCGTTTGACGTATAATTACAAGGAATTAGTTTCCTATCTTTTTGAGAATGTGATTATTCTTTTTTTGTTTTTGACCCTATATTGTCCCTATAACTGGCTGTCATACGCAAAATATTGAGAGAGTATGGCGTAATATGTGTAGTGCAATTCCTCGTTACGGAAGCATTACAAACACTATCTTGCTGAATTTTTTTGTGCTTGCTAATTTCTTTCTGTGGAATGACATTCCCACATTCCACAGGAATTAGGGCTTGCATTAACATGAGGAATCGGCTGCAAGCAGTAATTCAACAATGCGGAGGAAACACGCGTTTTTCAAATTTAAACACACACACACAAGTGAGAGACAAGGGGACTCACTTTAATCAAGCAACCCAAAAATGAGTCATTCTACACACACACAAACGGCTCTTTTCAGGGCCATATGATGTGCAAAATCCGACCGGCAACCTGGTATATGCCAATAATGCAAGGGTTACTTTAAAGTACTGTATCCTTGCGAAAAAAAATGGCAGCAACTTCTTTTTTTTCAAATTGAAGAGGAAGGTTCGTACTTTATGTTCCTGTAAACAGTATCCCCGAAAAAAAATGTAGCAAGTCCATACCATAGAGCTATTACAGATAGAGGGAAGTAGGTATGGGACAACGTGTAAGCGCATGCGATAGTGGGATAAAAAGAGAACGTTGCAATAGAGGCCGGTGTGTCACTGTCTAACAGTCACGCGCATGCGCGTAACGTGTGCGCTTGTAGGCAGAGTGTGTCTCTTTCTTTCTTATAAAAGCATGTGGAAAGAGAAAGATACACTCTGAACTAGTGCAGTTAGGCGCACGCAGTACCTAATACGCATGCGCTATGAGACAATGACACACCGGCCTCTATTGCAGCGTTCTCTTTCTACAGCTATATCGCGTCCTTCGTTAACTCCCTCCCTCTATCTGTAATAGCTCTATGGTCCATACACTCCGTCAAACTTTGCAATTTCCAATATAACAAACATGCCCTCACATTTAAGGTGTTACAGTGGCCTAGTTTACACCGTGCGTTTAGGCCGCAACCTATACCTTATATTCAACCCAAACACGATAGGTCGTGACGATGTAAACAGTTGCGACCTCGCTTGGGTCAGGTCTCTTTTTCGCGTGCCCTGACCTAAATTAGGTCACACGACGTAACGCGTGTAAACGCAGGTGACCTAAAGATCGCCTAAAGTGTAGAGTAAACAAAGTACAAACGATATTGGTTATGTATGAAGATGGCATTCACATGAGGACTAAATTTTTACCTATATTCGACCCAAAAGTATCATAGGTCTACATGGTGTAAACGTTTTGTTTAGAAGCCTATATTTTAGGTCAGGGCATAGGTCAGGTCGCGATCAGGTCGCACAGTGTAAACTAGGCCAGTGGTAGGGATGCATCACACCTAAAGAAGAACTATAGTATCTTAAAGTAGAGATTTCAAGTTTTAATTTAAAAAAAAGAACATAATTTTACGATGATTTTTCGCGGAGTTACCGTCAGTCAAAGTTGACCAATTTTTGCATAAAATTTTTCTATGCCATATTTCTTTTGAGCAGTGTATATTATTTAAAGATATATTTTATTTAATTGTAAATTTATGTATATATTATATTTATCGTACAGTCGTGGTCAAAAAGGTTGTCCAACGTTTTATGATATATTTCGGAAATACAGTCTATCACGCGAGAGATTATGGCTTTTATTCACGAATATGTGTAGTAACGCATTGTTAGAGCAAAAGAATGATATGTACGAATATCTATGCAATGATACAGGGTGTTTACCGGGAACCGCATGTTTTTGTATTGGGTAGTACACGGCAAGTAGTGGGGGGATGGCGGTTGGGAAGGTCCTATTGTGTAGAGGGGAGTTAGAAGTTTCAGTTACACTCAAAATTTGGGACCTTGAGCACCGCACTTTTGTTATGAGACGATTTTACGCTAACGGTGAGTCCGTGACCCAAACCCAACGAGACTTTCGCCGGCACTTCAATGTTCCGCCGCGTGGGCCGATTCCGGATCGTAACACAATTTTGAGGTGGATGCAAAAACCACGCACATTACCAGAGTTGAAGGAAGCCATCCGAAGAGAAATCCAAGCCATTCCATGAGAAATGTTACAAGATTCAATGCGTAACTTCAGGGAACGTCTGGAAACATGTGTTCAATCGGAAGGGCACCATCTACGCGATGTTATTTTTGCTACTTAATTTTTTGTAAGATTGTCTTAAAATTCCGAGTTGGTAGAACACATTGTTTAAAAAAAATACATTTTGGTTCAAAATTTAAAAAATTGTGGCTTTTTGAAAACCATGCGATTCCCGGTAAACACCCTGTACATACGAATACTCCGAAAACTTATTGTAAAACGTCGGCCAACCTTTCTGACCATGATCGTACATAACATTAACCAATGAAAACGCGACTGCTGTCTACCAACGTTGCGCATGCGCAAGAATTCAGTACATAGATTTTGGGGCCATGTATTTGACGGGAGTTCGCTATAGCGATCTAGTATATAGTATAGATATCTGTGGGTGGCACCTCCGTCGCAAATCAACGAAGGAGGAGAACGGCCCGTATAAGGGCCCGGCCCAAAGAAAAGGGCTCAGAAGAGCGCGAAGCCACCATAGACATAGTATTGTTATGCCCGTGCTCGGATGCGACGCCCTGGGAGTGCGCGCCAGCCGCGGGCTGAAGTCGCGGCGGTTTAAAAGATCGGTCGCGAAGGACCGATGCGCGGTTGTTGATGATTGATTTTGTGATTCTGTCTCTGGGCTCTTGGAGAGTACAGACGTGTGTTCTTTACTAAATAAAGTTCCCTTGTTGATTTCCAATCTTTATTGATTTCTTCGCGGCCCGGTGGTGTGCGCCGCGAGCGGAAGTCGAGCCGACGAGTGCGCGAGTGCGCGAGATGTCGTGTGGACGGCGGAGCCGGACGCAACATTTTGGGGGCTCGTCCGATCGGACGAGTGAAGACGAGCAACGGCTGCCCCGAGGAGGAAAAGAGCTCGAGCGCGTTCTCCCCCAGCGGACGCTGCAGAGCCCGTTATGGAGGCGCAATTCCTACAAGGACTGCTGCAGGAGATACATGGGATGCGCGAAAATCAGGCGCGAAGGGAGGAAGAACTTCGAGCGACGCTTCGCCAACGGGATGAGGAGCTGCAGCTTTTACGGACCTCCCAGATAAGTCTATCCAATAACAGAGCCGCCGGGGATTTCGAAACGCGAAGTGCAAACGCGGACGCGTTTAGTAACAGTTATCCGCGATCGGAGCTCGGGTTTAAAATAAAGCCCGACACATTCGACGGTACCACTTCGTTGCGCGAGTTCTTTTCACAGTTCGAACTAATCGTGCGTGCGAACTGTTGGACAGATGCCACAAAGACCGTGGTACTCGCTTCGTGCTTACGAGGGAAGGCGCGTTCGGTTTTAGAGACGGTCGAGGATTTGACTAATCTTGAGTATTCGGAGCTTAAGTCTAAGCTCGAGTTACGTTTCGGAGAGGTATATTTATCCCAAAATTGCTATACGCAATTTATTAATCAAAAACAGAGATTCGGTGAAGATTTGGCCGCGTACGGTATAGAGTTAGAGAGGCTTTCGCGCCTCGCTTACGCAGAGTGCCCCCACGACGTTCGCGATAAAATTGCATGTGCGCAATTTGTTTCGGGTGTCTATGATGGTTTTACAAGGCGAACCCTTCAATTGGAAGGAATTTCGTCTTTGAATTTGGCCGTCGAAAGAGCGAAAGGGATTGAAATAATTCAAGGGGAAAGTTTCGAAAGGGGAAAAGGGAATTTTTATGGGAGCGGTGTTATTAAAGAAAGGAAAGCTACAGAGGAAGGGTTGGAGAACGGGAGCGGGCGCGAAAAGAAATCCGCCTACGGACGCGAGTGTTGGTCCTGCGGGAAAATCGGGCATTTCCGCTCTGAGTGTCCTGTCGCAAAAGAAAACGAGGACTAATTGACCTCAATGGGGGAGGTCAACTTTTCCGGGAAATTCCCCAAGAAGGGTTTAATGATAGGGACTGGAGCCCGTGTAAATATAGACACTCTGGATTTTTGTTCAAAAAGTTTTCTGCGTGGTTTTTCTGTTTTAGGTTTAGTAAAATTCCATGTGATGATGAGGTCTCTAAGGAGGATCGCTCTGAAAGAAGACTTTCTTTAAGAATTAAGAAGACTGCCCTGCCCACGGTTTTTAGAATCGGGGTTTTCCCGTGCGGCCTTTGGGCGAATGCCGGGGCAGGGACAGGGAGAGCCCTTGTGGGCGAAGGGTCCCTGTGTAGTTTCCCCTTCCCTGTCCGAAGAGGGAAGAGTCAAGCGCACAAGACGACTCAGGGAAGAATCAAGTGCGCAAGAGGACTCAAGTAGGACGTCGTCGAGCGGCATGCGGGTTCCGCAGAGTGCGAAGTTATTTTTTGGCAGAGTTCAGGCAGGAAGAGGATGCCATGGAGCCAGCTATGGGAGGAGGAGTCTGGTTGACTCTCCTCCGGGGACGCTGGTCTAGGATTCCGGCAGGAAGAGGATGCCCTGGAACCAGCTATGGGGGGAGAAGTCTGGATGGCTCTCCGGGGACGCTGGTCTGGGATCCAAGTCTGATGCCGGAAAGAAGCTACCGGAAAGAGGATGCCCTGGAACCAGCTATGGGGGGAGGAGTCTGGATGGCTCTTCTCCGGGGACGCTGGTCTGGGATCCAAGTTCGAAGTCGGAAAGAAGCTGCCAGAATTTTACTGCCCCCCTGCTTAGATTGTCGGGGCGACAATCTTAAGAAGAGGAGGGGTAGTGTTATGCCCGTGCTCGGATGCGACGCCCTGGGAGTGCGCGCCAGCCGCAGGCTGAAGTCGCGGCGGTTTAAAAGATCGGTCGCAAAGGACTGATGCGCGGTTGTTCATGATTGATTTTGTGATTCTGTCTCTGGGCTCTTGGAGAGTACAGACGTGTGTTCTTTACTAAATAAAGTTCTCTTGTTGATTTCCAATCTTTATTGATTTCTTCGCGGCCCGGTGGCGTGCGCCGCGAGCGGAAGTCGAGCCGACGAGTGCGCGAGTGCGCGAGGTGTCGTGTGGACGGCGGAGCCGGACGCAACAGTATATATAGACTGCGCATTGTGGCTGCAGACGTTTGCACACCTGAGAAAGAGACAACATGCTTACGTAGTAGCTCTTTCTCTGTCTATCTATTGTTCCTCTACTCTTTTGTTTACCCCCACTACTTCATTTCGACAAAGATAAAGACACTGCGAACACCAGCTATCTCGTTCTAAAGTTGGCACATGTTTTCACGCGAGTAAAGTAGGGAACGCGCAGTCTATATATACTATGTCTATGGAAGTCACGCGCGGCGCGGGACCACCCGGAAGTAATGTATTGCAGTTCCCGGGTGACCCCATCAAGCGCAGAGAAGTCCACCCTCGGTGGTTTTAGTGCGGTAGGCGCCCCCATTGCACACTGGCCTCGAAGTGTCATATATACTCGAGTGCCAGGGGGGCGAGTCCCACACACCCCTCTGTGTCCCAGCAGGTCGAGAGGTGATGGTCCATGAGGATTTCCACCGGGTAAACAAAAAAGCTTTTCTCTTTTTAACTAAAGTGAATTTTGTGTTAATTAAAATTGGCGTACTTATGACATTGTTACGCCAAGCTATCTTATTATTTTAAGAAGACTTGGCTAAAACTAATTTCTCTTATTTCATTACAAAACACTAGTAGGATTCCCAATTCTTTTCTTTAATCTTACCACACTCAAAGAGGCACCTGTAGATGGCTATATTCCAGAAAAGTTTGCAACTTGCTTAAAAATGATATTTGTATTATCACGCGAGGGATAATACCGTGAGACATTAACGTGAAATCAGTTATATTGTACATGTCTGTAAATCGCACTCATAAATTGGATGTTGTAACCATGGAGAATGTATAAGGAGACCGAACTAGGGCCGGTATTCATAGTCCGTTCTTATATTTAAGATCATCTTAAGTATACTCTTAATGTGTTTTTAACCAATCACAGAGCCGTATTAGCCACTTAAGATAACACTTAAGATGATTTTGAAATAAGAATCAACTATGAATACCGGCCTAGGTCTGGATCAGTCTGGATCACGTCACCGAAAGTGGGCCGACATTTTTGCCATCCAGTGAATCAAAATTTTGCCACTTGTAGCGCTGGCGTCGCCTTACGCGATTAAGAATTCGCCCATGAGTTTACCGATCTTGATCTCGTAGATACAGCGTATAACTGTTGTTATCTAGGGGTCAATTTCTGAAACTTACGAAAATTACAAAAGTGAGTGAATATTTATAATTTCAATCTGTCAATTCGCTCACTTTTGTAATCTCCAGTTTCAGAGATACACAATCCATCTCCTCATCTTATTTACAGATCGGATGTATATTATATAACCACGAAAGCTTCATGCATATGACAACCATGTGTCACGTACGAATGCGAATGGAGTTAGTTGATGACGCTCCCAGTATTGCTTGTCAGAACGTCTGGCGGGCACAAACATCGGCCCATTCTAATTACGGGCAGTTCGGTCTCCTTATACATTCTCCATGGTACAAGAGCATCCCACAGGACCTGACTATAGCACGAAACGCAACCAAAATTTCGCAAATCTGCGTTACCTACTTGGCAAAATGTAGACATTGGCTACGTAGTTCAATGTCCATGTTTTCAATGTCCACAGAGGGCGTATCACATTCGCCAATCACGAAAAACGGGGCCTTGACATCTCTCAGGACGACGTCCCATAGCGCGGAAATACTCAGCGGAACGGAATGCGCGGAACCAGCACGGCCAATCAGAGCTATTCCGCTTTCTTTGCCAGCGCTTTTTCTGTTTCCCTAATGTCCCATTGAGCGGAATACGCGGAAGCGGATCACGCGGAACGATAAAAAAGATGACTTTTTAATGTTATTTTCAACATTTATAATAATTAAAATAATATTTTACACAAATAACATAATATATGACAAAGTATTAACAATAAAATCTGTTTTTTCTGTAAAATATTTTTCATGTAAATGTAGAACTCTCCTACGATTGGTTGAAATCCAATTCCGCTGCCGTGTTTACCGCTTAATGGGACATTAGGAGAAATGCATCAGCGGAAACGTGTACAATTATAACCTGATATTGCCTGATATTGACTCGCGGAATGAACGGATAATCTCTTCATACACGTTCCAAAGACAATACTATTATTAAATAATTATGAACAGAGTAGGTAATCAAATGCTAATGTGTCGGAACGTGTATGCAAAAACACAATAGAGGTTATCCGGTTATTCCGCGGATTTCAGCGGTAAAACTATAGCGGAACGGCTCGAGAAAAGCGGAATGGCTGTGATTGGCCGCGCTGGTTCCGCGCATTCCGTTCCGCCGAGTATTTCCGCGCTATGGGACGTCGCCCTCAGGCTTCTCTCTGTAACGAATACGATTTTTTGCCATATTGCCTGCTAGTAAATTAGCCCAGCGCACATATTTATGACTGTAATAGATTATTGCAAAATCGCGGTTTAATCACAACCCGTGATTAATTTAACGGATACGTTGTTATTGAAACTTATCTTCCTTTAAACTCCATTTTTAATCGTTATCGCATGGTGTAAACTTTTCCGGCGTGTTGCTTTCGCGGCGTGTTGGTTTTCCGGAGTGGCTGAGGTAATTTTTTCGCAATAAATTTTCTGTATTATTAAAAAATGCCAGGTATGGTCAAGAAAGCACTGACGTTGATAACACTTTGAATCGTCCACTTTTCATCTTTAAGGGGATGCTAACGGTCACAATATTACTGTTATATTACTGTGTAATATTTCTATGTAACATATCAGTAATATTAATGTAATATTACATTGCAATATGTAATATTACCGCAATATTATAATATTACTGATATATTACGTGATATTATGTGCTATGTGGGTTATTACCCATACAAAAATTTTCAGATAACCTCTTCTGTCAGATAAGAAAGTAATGTATATATTATGATCTCGTGTTCACGATGTTAGAATTCGGTCCGAGAAATTTATAGCCAATCAATTTGCAACTTTTACGAAAAAGCAACAATTTTATTAGCTACATTGCTCAGACCGAGATTTTGGATCGAATTCTAGAATCGTCGACACCATGACTTTACCGACAATCTGACATGTTTGGCAGTAACATCTCTCGAGAAAGCCTGCAACTATTTTTACACGTCATGCTGATCTTTTTTTCGTCTTCTAGAATTGGATTTTTAGACTTGCGGTAATTAGAAGTAATCTTTTCTTCTAGGCTATTAATCTTAGTTCTAATTGCACGATATTGTTCTTATATGTTATCCCTAGACTATTCTGGTCTCATTTTGTATATATCTATTGTAGAATTTTTGTATCAAGCAAATATTGTCGTCAAGTATGCCAAAAATTAGTAAAATTTGTATTTTGTTTTGTTTTTGATATAAAGTCAACCAGAATAGTGTAGATTTTGCTGCGTACTTTAATTGCATAACAGAGTTTTGCATTTCTATAAAGTTAATTAAAAGATTAGTTCTAAACAAAAATGTCGATAAAACAGACGGGTTTAGCATCCTCTTAAACTCCATTTTTAATCGTTATCGCATGGTGTAAACCAGAGCTTGTCCACGAACTGCTCATTTCGGCCGATTTTCGCGAGGCACCGCCTATTACCCCCTACTTCAGTCATCTAACAACCGTAACCAAGCGCACGGCGCTCAGCTTCAGGTACGACGTATCGGTAATCTGATGCCGTTATGTGCCCCTTGACTAGCAAATGTCAGTTTCTAAAACGTGATTTGTTTAAAATCTTCTTAAATAATTACTAAATATACTCTCGTCAATGTGATTAATAATCGGGAATTAAAAGTTTCTTATTGAAGTAGTTATTTAAAAAGATTTTAAACAAATCACGTTTCAGAAACTGACAT